CCGAACCCCTGGTGCTTTCTACATTTTGACTTCGAAATGTGCTTCGCGCCACAGCGGCGTGCACTTTTTCGACATCTCAACTTCCAAGAGTGGTCCGGAGCTGGTGTGTTTTCTACATTTTGACTTCGAAATGTGCTTCGCGCCACAACGGCGTCCATTTTTTCGACATCTCAACTTCCAAAAGTGGTCCGAACGTGAGGTGTTTTTAGCTTTTTCACTTGCAAATGTGCTTCGCGCCACAACAGCGTGCATTTTTTCGACATCTCAACTTCCAAAAGTGGTCCGAACGTGCCGTGTTTTTACCTTTTTCACTTGCAAATGTGCTTCGTGCCGCAACAGCGTGCACTTTTTCGGCATCGCAACTTCCAAAAGTGGTCCGAACGTGAGGTGTTTTTAGCTTTTTCACTTGCAAATGTGCTTCGCGCCACAACGGCGTGCAATTTTTCATCTCTCATCTGGCCAGATGGCTCCGCACCCGCCGCTCTAGCGAGCCTACTTTTCCACCCTCTGGAGCCACAAATCATTGGAAACACACAGCATTTCGCAACTTTCCTACCGTTTCGCGCATCTGCATCTTCTTTCTTCTGACTCTTTCTCTTCTCTGATCTTCTCTCTTCTACTCTTCTCTTCTCTCTGACTCTTCCCATCTCTGCTTTTCATCTGTCCATATTGTCGGAAGTTTGACTTCTAAACTTCCTTCGATCAACCAATTGTGAGTATATATACATATAAGCACACACACACACATATATATATATACATACATACAAGCACACACACACATATATATATATATATTATATCTATACGATACCATGTATATATATATATATGCTCGCAACACTACGCACAAAATGGACCCGTCACACGCGTCAACATGACTCATCAAGATTCATTAAGTAGCCCCTCTCACAGCCAGTTTGTCCTGTGAATCCAACGGTGCTTCTGGACGCTTCTGAAGAAAGACCCGGACAACTGCATAACGGCCATTGCTGTTCGCGATCAACGGTGGTATGGCGGAAATGGATTGCTGAAACCTCAGGGAGACAGGCTGTTGGAGCCTGACAAACTGAGTCAGGATACGCAAGCACTGCCATGTGCCAAACCCTAACCATGACCCAACTCTAAGATGCCAGACTCGGCTGCTTGGTATCTCTTTCCTGTCGTAAGTTCACGCCTCCACCTGTGGCTCCACGAGAGAATCAAAACCACAATCAAAAATAACAACTCTATTCTCTATGCAGCAGCTTCACGTCGTATTTGCAGGGCGTACTGACCGAGTTTTTTTGCCCACTGTACGCGTGTTCCAAATGTTCCGATTGAGGATTGAGCAGTGCCACCAATATATCGGACATTTCCTGATAATTATTCATGGTGGTTGGCTAAAGGGAGCTCCCATAATGGTAACGGACTATGACTATCAGAATCCACAATTCTATATATATATATATAGGTATATATATATATATGGTCTCGTGTTCCGTGTTCCTGCCCCCCCCACCCCCCTCCCAATGGTATGGGTCCCCAGGTAGCACCCCCTGCAAGCTATTGGCAGCATTTCTGAGGTCCAGACTCGTATTTGCTAGGTCTTTGCAGCATTTCTGACTACCAGCCTCGCATTTACTAGGTACACGGTACATGCTACCTTTTAGACGACCTACGTAGCACGCAGACTCCCTCAAAGTACCTACGTGCTACCTATAGTTGTACATATATATATATATGTGCTATGTATCTACTTCCTATTTACTACCTGTGTACTCTCACAACACTACATGTGTTTAACATATGCCATACCTACCATACATTCCAATGATACCATACATACCATACAAACCATACATACCATACGAACTTTGACCATACATACCATACCTATCATGCATACCACACATACCATGCATATGAAACACAAGTAGCACACCTCCCATACGTACAATACCCAACAGACTTGCATACCATACCTACCATCCATACAGTACCGCACCCCCACCACACCACAGGGGGGGAGGGGGACAGTACCACACCCCCACCACACCACAGACAGGTGGGGGAGGGGGACAGTACTATGGCTGACCCATGACCAGGGCCAGGGGGGAGGGGGGTTGGAACGCTGGACCATATATATATATATATTATATATATATACACATAATATATATATATAATAAAAACAATAATAATAGTAATAATGATAAAACTGATGATAATAATAATGATGATAATAATAATAATAATAATAATATATACGTATATATACGTATATATTATATATATATATCATAATATATACTACTACTACTACTAATAATAATAATAATCTATAAATATATATGCCTGGTAACACAATCCTGAAGTTGTTGACCAAACTGTGTTTTGAAACTGCTCAATTCTTGGCACGCCATGGATGCAACGACTCACCCTGAACCACAGGTATACACAAGTGACAAGAGCTTTGATCCACAAGAACGAGGAAGTTGAGGCATAAACTTGGGGCGATCGTGGCATTTCATGCACTCAAATTCTGCACGATTCATAGCATGTGCCTTTTCAAACGTTGACATGCAAAAAAGTTCGGTGTTCTGATCACTTAATTAATTTTGCCATGCTGGCAGTGAAACTAACATTGGCGCAAAGCCTGACTGGGCAAGTCATGAGAGCCAATTCCACCTGCGCTTTCAGCAAACCTGGTGGAATTTCTTTCTTCAAGAATCCACTCCAGTTGCCCGCGTTGAACCGGTCGTCGTGATTCATTGCCCTGCTGTGGCAACAAAGACTTGGCGATTTGGCCCGTTGGGCCAAAGCCCTTCCAATCCGTGTATGCCATTTGGTCATTCAACCATAAGTACCACGGATATCGAGGGCAGAGACAAATGTACTTCATACTGATACCCGTTCGATAGTCACTGCTAGAATTCTGGGGTCAGATGCCTGGCACGACCCTGAAAACATTGGGCTATCTTACATTTCTGCCTCAACAAATAGAGAGTGTCAGACACACATGATACGGTGGATGGAAGAAATCCAGCACCAGTTGATAGGTGGTTTATCCCATTATTTATAGGGTTTCAACCATCCAAGATGATGCAGGATTTCTTCCATCCACAGTATTATCCACTTGGTTTTCTGGGAACATGGGAGTGCTTGTCACTGTCAGTGCCTATTGGGTTTGTCCTACAAAAGATTGCTTTCATATTTCGGCTTCTGTGGGCACAAATAAGACACATGCATGTCAATTTCTATGGGGAAAAACACCAAGAACACACACATAATAGTATATCACCAATTGTAAGAATCAATAATGGCAATACTTAGTAGTAATAATCATGAAAACAAAAGCAAAAGGAACAAGTAACACATTTTCTGAGAAAGTGACATACTAAAACATAGAAACAATACAAACTCTTAACATATACCCGCCGTTTCTCCATCCACCTGCCGCTTCCCTCATTGTGATCCTATGGTTTGTTGGTGTGTCCGCACGTTTTAAGCAACTTATTTCTGCTTTGGACACCTGGCATTTTAGTGCATTTATTCATTGCTTAATGTTGCTTATATCATTTTATCTGGTTTCCAGGGGTCTGACCCCCTCCTGATGCCACCAGAAGAGTATCCTACTGCTGTGCTTGTAATAGGAGCCACTCGAAGATGTTCTCAACAGAGGCCCCCAAAGCACCCCAACGTTGACTCAGGGCAAACACACATAAATATTCTAAATATTTTCCTTGGGGTCTTGCGGGTCTTGTCAGCTGAAGCTCTTTAACGGAAACGGTCGATGTCATGAGTCAACGATATGAGCCTGACGGCTGTGGGTGACACCAAGCTGATCCCCGAGATCCAAACGATCCTTTGCTTTCTTGCCCTTGGTCTGACAAGTCGATACCACGACAAGAAAAAGAGCCTCTCGATTGGTGTGATAAAATGGATCACGTATGATATCGTATGATCACGTGTAGTAAGATGCCAAAGGAGTACAAAGGTGTCTGTCAACAACCAACATCAACCAACATCACCGAAAATTCGGTATGGCCTTTGCATCAGAACCAACATGGGCACCACGACCAGGCCGTGCAGGGTAGAGACTTGGCTCCACAGGCTGCACGCCCTGGTCATCTGGTCACATCAAATATGGTCACGGCTTTATGCTGAGACAGATCGCTTCTTCTGCCATGCGGGTCCACGGGAGCCTTCGACCAGGGCCATGGGTTGCCCGGGTCATCCCAGGTCTCCCAAAAGGAAATGAATAAAAAAGGCCAACCATAGAAGCGAGGACCCCGCTGGCAAAGTCCAGCTTGAAAAATGATGGAAGATATTCAAAGATCAAGATGTCAGTTGAGCAATCTCCATGCCCACCCTTGCCCCGTGCTCTATCTGCTGGCCTCTCGTGTCTTCGATACTTCCAATGTCCATGTCGTCTAAAGAATTCCCCCTGCGATGCGCCGTAGATTTGGTGTATGCGCCGTAGCCGCCGTACACCTCGTTCCATGCACCTTGCAGGGGCAATAGCTCGCCTTCCTGCGACATGGCAATCACAACGGCAAACATCCGATGCATGCCATGTGGAACCAGAATGAAACATTACATCCATTGCATCCATTGCATTCTCAATAAACCCATGGATCTTAACACCGGGATCACCAGCTTGTTCTCCTCCCGACTGGAAAGTTGGATCTTTAAATGTATGTTTCTGAGGCGCAACGCCCCCACTGCTCTATTCAGTTTTCTGATCTTTTCACAGATGCTTCGAACATTTTCAACCTATGTGCAGAAGCAAAGTGCATCTTTCAAAACACATACCGAATGCATAGGCCTTGACCATGCTAGGCCTTGGCCACTAAGCCCGTATGTTTTCCTCCTCTTTTAAGGGATTTTGGATTATTTTGGGTAGGGCCCATTGCATCCCATGGCTATGGCCCGTTGTGATCTCCTCATCGGAGTTCAGCTCCTCCAAATCCGACTCATCTAAAGAGTTCGCCGAAAACTGGGCTGTGCTGAAGCTGTTCCAAGAACCTCGTGCCACTTGGGTCCACCAGGTCACCAGGTCACCGGTTGGAGCAATGCTTGAGAAATTTGGTGCTGATTAGGACCTATTAGGACATTTAACGATATTTAACGGATTTAACTGATTTAACGGTAACAGGGGGGGATGAGATTGGCAAAGTCTGATACTTTTCAGGAAAGGCAAGCCCACGTACATCTACAAAGATGGTTCGCCCATTATCCGTGTGGCTTGCATCTATATTGGGCTTTCAATCCCATCCCAAGGTGGCGGCCTTCCAGAAAGCGAGCAAACCTGTGAAGTCTGACGCTATCATGCCGAAACAAATCTCGAAAGCTCACCCAAGAAGTGGCACCATATTCATCGTCTTCATCCCAGACTTGAATGAGAATGTGCAGCACCACTGTCTCAACCACGACAATGAGCTCGATTTTTCCTGGACCCACCGCTTTCATCGATTTGCATCTCTCATCTCCCAGCAGAAGCAGAAACGTCTTGATGTCTCCAAAAACTTCTGCGGAACTCTTGTTGGCTTGACGCAGAATGTCACCAGGAAGAGACAGCACCTGCGGGGAGCAGGTGCCCGAGCGCACGATGAGTGATATGAATGGATGCTTGTTCAACGCTGGTTGCCCAAAACCTGAAACGAACATCTGTCAACATCTGTGTTGAATCTGACGGTCGCATAGATTTAGAATATTTTAGATTCTGCATAACAACCACAACCAGTCCACGTGCCTGTGGAGGCACTGCCATGGCAAAGAATTTCTAAATCACTACTTGTGTTGAAATCCAAAGGTGCTGCGGATGTAATTCGGAGATGCTCAACCTTGCTCAACCATATTCACCTGTGACCTGTGCCTCAAAATCAGATCACGCTCAGCTGGACAGCACATCTCTAAGAAAAAACTAAAAAATACATCCTCTGTCATGGATCTTGCCATATCTTGCCGATCTTGATTTTAGCCCAGTGAAGCCAAGTCGCCCCCTCTGCTGGCATTCGGAAAGAGCAGCTACAACTGCCAGAACGTGGTTTATGTAACCACCTCGATTGGCGGATTTTGTGCATGATTTAGCGAAACCAGCTATAAAATGCTAAGCATCCCGCTTCGCATGAGCTCCTCCATCTCTGCAAGTGCCTCACTCTTTGGCTCAGTAGAAACATCAAAACATGGTAAATCATCCCCGAGGCATTCCAAGGCCAAGGCCCAATAAATACTGTAAATGTTTTAATCTGAGGAACTTCAGTGCCTTCCTGCGGTTGAGTGCAAGGCCTTCGGCAGCTTGAGAGCAGTCTGGGGGATGACCAAGTGCTTGCGTTGCCGAACCTGGACAGATCTGGGCAGTCAAAGTGCTCTCATTTTGAAGCAGTTCTGAAGCACTTCCGAACAGAGCTTAGTCATCCAGTGTGGACACATGTTGCGACCACAAGCAACCACGAGCTAAGTGGCCAGCTGCTTCGTGACACAGCTCGTCCTACCGACTTGACAAATTTACAACCCAAATCGATACCCACGGCTGGAATTCAGCGAATTTTGTTGCCCAGTTGGCCCAGACCTTCTCGAGGTTAATGATGGATTTCAATGCCTCAGGCATTCGGAAACTTGACAAGTCGATGGTTTTTTGGCTGAACCAATCAGGGATCCAACTGGGTAGGCGGAACGCCAATCATCTGTTTCAATCCATTGCTTCCACAGTCCATGCGCATCTCGCATGAACCTGCCATTGAGTCTAAAAACGGAATCCTTCAAAGCTAGCCACCAATGACAGTTTCAATAAATGAACTACTCGAAGGGAGCAGGATTGTCAAACCAAACCTCAACCCAACATAACCCAACACAATCAGGCAAGCAGTGCTCTCCATCAACAATCACCGCATCTAGACGCCGCCTGATTGCATGCAGGAGGCTCGTGAGGAGCCAACCATCACAAGCATCGAAACACAAACACACAACAACAGTTAGCGAACAACCTTGCTCTCTTAGCTGCAGGCCTCGGGTCAGCATCTGTATCAGTTGCTGAGCTACCTCCGTGTATTGGTGGACGTTGTTGGACGTTGGTATGGCAAGTTGCAAGTGGCTGCAAGTGGATTTAGCTGTCGACAGGGTATGTCAAACCTGGGAGCTGCGTCCACCTCAAACGTGCCGTGCTGCGATCTTGGAGCTTTTTGCAGGAGCTCGACACCATGGGTTCCCTGCTGCTATTGTTGACTTTCCAACCGAGGAAGGTCCAAGGATCCACAGAGCAACCGGCGCCACCTGTACATGACAACATGATTAGTATTGCATGTGGCTAGTGGCCTTCTTCGCACAACTGCCTGACACCATAGGTTCGTCCTCTGAATCGCAAAGAAGATAAGAGTGACCGTTGACCCAGCCAATGGAACAGAAATAAAAGAAACACCATCAACATACAAAACGGCCTCCTCAAAAAACATCAAACCGTGGCTATACCGCCTGATCTCCTGAAGCGCCCGTGAAGTTTGCAGCCGTCCTGGGCATTGTGGTATTCTCCACCTTCTGCCCTGTGATGCAAGTGTTTCTAAGTGTTTATCATTGTTTATCAACACTACATAGAGAAAGCAGGAAGATGCAGGAAGAAGAAGAAGGGGAAGAAGAAGAATGAGAAGAAGAAGAAGAAGAAGAAGAAGAAGGAGAAGGAGAAGGAGAAGGAGAAGAAGAAGAAGAAGGAGGAGGAGGAGGAGGACAAGAACAGACAAGAACAGACAAGAACAGACAGGAAGAAGAAGAAGAAGCAGGAGGAGGAGGAGGAGGCGAAAGAGAAGAAAGATGAGGAATGGCGCCTGCAATACAACTTGAGGCCGGGGGTGGATGACGAAAGCTAGCGGGGTAGGAGAAAGAAGGAAGGGAAGAGGTGAGTTGCGGAGGGACTGTCATCATCGTGTCGCGGCATTGTTCGTCCCAACGAGGATGCAACAATGATATATTGATATATGATATATAACAATGATATATATGGGGAGGGGGCAGGGGGGGGCCCTTTCGCGGGAAAAATCACGTGATGTCCTTGGGGAGCCCCGGAATACGTGCTAAAGCAAGAAGACTCTAGCGAGCTGACGCTAGCTTTCGTGATAATGACAATAATTGCCAATAATGATAAAATGTAATTGAATAACGATGATGATGATGATGATGATGGATGATGGATGATGAATGATGAATGATGAATGATGAATGATGAATGATGAATGATGAATGATGAATGATGAATGATGAATGATGATGATGATGATGACGAGGACGCGGACGAGGACGAGGACGATGGAGAGGACGATGACGATGATGATGACGCTGATGATGACGATGATGATAGATAGATAGATAGATAGATAGATAGATAGATAGATAGATAGATAGATAGATAGATAGATAGATAGATAGATAGATAGATTAGATAGATAGATAGATAGATAGATAGATAGATAGATGGATGATAGATAGATAGATAGATAGATAGATAGATAGATAGATAGATAGATAGATAGATAGATAGATAGATAGATAGATAGATAGATAGATAGATAGATAGATAGATAGATAGATAGATAGATAGATAGATAGATAGATAGATAGATAGATAGTGTTGTTGCACAGTCCTAGTATACGTCTTACACTTTTCACCCTTTATTACTCGTGTGCCTATGGCTCAAGAAACAGTGTGTCTCCGGGTATTTGGTTTGTGGCCTATAGTGGTTTATACTCTGTTTCTACAGGTTATCAGCCGTATCGCCAAGCGATCGCTGGTTTCCTTTGTTTCACACTTGTCGTTCTTTCTCCGTAGTTTTCGCAATGTCCACTCCCCCTGCGCTTCCTGCCCCGGGCGGGAACGCCTCGGCTGCATTGGCTTTGGCGACAACTACACAACCGGAGGAAGTGGTAATCCATTCAGGCGCGGCTACGACAACAGAAGGGGACATGAGTTATCTGGATGAAGAATTTGACCCATGCCGTCAAGATCCACGCAGGAACATGCCAGGTGTTTTGGATTCAAACATTGACATCAGCCAACTCAACACCATCAACTTTAACAGTGTTGATCAGCGTACCGCCCACGTGGCAGTGGTACAACAAGGCATTGATCCAAACCTGGCGAACCAGCTCATGGCTGCTCAACAGCAGGCATTGCAGAGTGAGGCGAATGCACGTCACTCTGAGGTCATGGAGCGTCAACGTATGGAGCTTGTGAGTGAAGCTCGAGATCAACTTGCAAGCGTCGAACAACAAGCAGCCGAAGAAATTTCCAGGAGAAACCTTTTGTTGAACGAGCAGGCCGCCCAGGCGATGAGTGAGCATAAATCTGCTCAACTGCAGGTCACAGCGCAGGATCATCGCATCAGGGAACTGAGTGCCGAATTGACCCACGTGGTCAACAATGCAGGTGTTTTGACATCGTCTGCGGAGAAGTCCAATGCTGATCTGCAGGCAGCACGTTCAGAACTTGCCGAGTACCGCACTCAGATTGATGCAATGAATCAACACGCTTTGAACATGCATAAGCTGGCCGAATCTCAGAAGAAGGACTTCGAGGCGGAGATTGAGAAGCTTCGGAAGGAGCAGAGAGAGCTTATCCGGAATTTAAAGTCTCAACCTCTGGAGGGAACTCCTGGACTTATGATTCACTATGGCTCAGGGAAACCCATTCCACAATCCTCGAAGCCCAAGGGTCCAACCATTGTAGAGTTAGCTTTGGGAAGCAAGAAGCCTCAGCATTCATCAGATGCTGACGACGAGCATTTTCAGGCAGAACCTTTGAAGCCACCGGGATTACCCGGCGGTGGACCTCCAGGAGATGACGATGGTGATGATGAATCTGACGACAAGAGAGGTCGCAGAGACAAGAAAGACAAGAAGAAGGACCGCAAGACTAGTCGTGGCCGCTCGCGACGACGACGTCGAAGAGATCCTTCATCCTCACCTTCATCATCAACATCCCCTACGTCATCAAGGTCGGATTCTGAGAGTTCCTTTACCCGAAAGGTTAAAAAGGCCTTGGAGCGTTCTAGGACTAGTGATACTAAGGCCAAAGAGTCTGATAGGATCCTTGTACCTAAGTTCCCTCAACCCGAAAATTATAGGAATTGGAGAATCCGAGTAAGGGATGCCATAATTGCTGCTTCTGCTAAACCCGACCTAGCCTTTCAGTGGGTGGAGGAAGTGTTCAGGACAGACCAGTCTGCCGATGCTTTGAAGGACTCAGGTAAATTCGTGACCCTGGACGCAAAGCTCATGTCTTCACTCACCAACATCTGCGAAGGGGACTTTGCACGGCAACTTGATATCTTTAAAGAAGAACAAGCCAAGTCAGGGACACCAGCTAGGGGACGTCAAGCATTGCTCATGATTCATAAACACTTCAGTACAAGTAGGAAGCATGGTGCAGTGTACGACATTGAGGACCTCATGGCTGTTACCTTAGTCAATGATGATCTCAGAGGTTTCATCACTCGATGGGACGCAGTGATCGCTGGAATGACTTCCGAGCCTGACATGATGTGGAAGCAAGCCTACTTTCACAACGCCATCAAGAACTTCAAGCCTCTCTCTCATGATCTGGCTGTGTATGATCGCACACCGGAGGGGGAACCCAACCGCTCTTATGATTTTCTCATGAAAGCTGCAAGGGACTACCTTGAGAGAAGACGTCTTGAGAAGATGCGCCAGGCAACCAAGAAGTCCGTTTCAGGCAAAAGAGATGCAACGCCAGCACCCACGAGACCTACGTCCACGGGAAAGCCCACTGGCATTTGCTATGACTTTCAGGCTGGCAAATGTACCAGGGGAAAGGATTGCCGATACCGACATGAAAAGGCAGACAAAGGAAAAGGCGGAGGTAAGAAAGGCAAATCTAGGTCCAAGTCTAGGGGCGATGGTCGATCTTTGTCTCCAGGATCTAGGAACCAAGTGTGTAAGTTTTGGAAGGCAGGTAAGTGTCAACGAGGTAATGACTGTGCTTTCCAACACCCACCAAAGCCTGCAGCTGCATCTACCAAAGATGATAAGCGTGGAAAGAGCCAGAAAAAGAAGAAGAGAAATAAGAAGAAGAAGGGCGATCGCTCCAGATCGTCAAGTCGAGGTTCCAACTCCTCGAGAGGCTCTCAGAGTCTCAAGGACAAAGGGGGAAAACCATCTTCCTCTGGCTCAGCTGCAGTTTGCCTGATGCGCGCTCTGATGATGGTCGCAGTCGTCAACCCTTCGACCAGCACTCATCGCGTGCCGGAAGGCATCGCCTCTCCGCATTGTTTCAACCAGCATTTTGCCATGCCAGTTACACCCAATCGCACTGTTTCATTTGGGGGCAACGATGAAATCTTCGAAGTTCCCATTGAGCAAAACTGTAATTTATATCCGTGCCAAGCCAAGCAACGAACTTTCAATCCAGTTCGCATCACCAAGGACGATCGTGCTCGCAAAGATACGATCGAAGCACGAGAAAGTGATGCAATACTTGCAGCACAAATGTTGCAATCAGCTGTCTTTCGGGAGTTGCATGGCAAGCTTTGCAAATGCAGCTTTGAATGTGACAGTGATATCGGCTGTCGCCACTGCATCCGTTCCGACCTGAATGCCCTGCCAGGACATATGCCGTCCCAGCAGCGTAACGCATCCGCTGAGATAGCATGGATTGCTGACACCGGTAGTGCACAGGACTTAGTTTGCAGCAGGATGATTCCCGATGACATCGTGTATCACTCTCATGAACCCCTTGAATTAATCACTGCAAATGGTTCCCAATCAGCTGACCAACAAGCTTCTGTTCACATTGATTGCATCGACAAAGAAGTTCATCCATATGTTCTTCCTGATACCCCGGCTGTAATATCGGTAGGGATGAGATGTATTCAAGATGGATGGGATTTTGTTTGGAAAAGCTTTAGTCGCCCATATTTCAAGAAGAAAGATGGAACTAAGATCAAACTTGAAGTCAAAGATTTTGTTCCTTATCTACCATCCAGAGATGGCCAGGTACCCGCTGCAGTAGGGATTCCGTTTTCATGGAACTCCGCTGCCGGGAACGGCAAGCCCATCATCTCACCTGTTCGAAGGTCTCGCATGTCAGCCGTCGGTGCAGAGTCCGATGATGAAGTCGAGGAGGTCGAAGAACCTTACGAGGCTTCCATCGCTGATGACGATGAAATTCCCGGACAAGCTATCGACGACCTCGAAGAATTCTTTCCTGGTGAACTTGCACCAGGACCGCCAGCAGCCATGACACCAGACGTTGTCGAAGGTTCGGAAGATGAAGCCGAAGCTCCTGAAGAACCAGTTGACGGTCGACTTCAGTTGCCTGAACCAAAGGCGATTGATCGTGGTGAAGCTGCACTTCGAGAAGAGGCCAGGACCCTTAGGCACATGATGACACATACCCCAAAGAATCCCTTTTGTGAAACGTGCAAATGTGCAAAGATGTACAAACCTACTAAACGTAGCAAAGGGGAATCTCTGACAGTGGAATCCAACAAGTTTGGGGATCACATCACTGG